TTATTAAATGTATTTTTGTATAACACATAAAGAGAAATAAAGTAATAAAAACAAGCATACATGTTATTATACATCAATTTTATTTATAAAGCACTTTTTAATTCAGATTTTAATTTGCCATGTGAAGTTTTTATTTAAAAATCCATTATTTCTTAAAATTTTCTTTCTAAAATAAGTCAGATAAGTATTATTTTATTTGCAATAGAATATAGACCAATGTTCATTGTTCAATATTTAAAATATAATGTTCTGCATGAGAACTTTTCTTACAAACACGCAACAACATTTAACAAAACCGAATTCTATCTCATAAAAAAACATTTCTTTCTTGATTAACTATGCAATGATTCTAACATAACTAACTTTATTTTCATTATGATCGTATCTACAAAATGTAAACAAAACATCCCAAGACTTTTCCAAATAGTGACAGATATGATTCCTTCAACCTGATTGGGTGAATTTATCAACCAGGCAAACTTTTGGTGCAAATACATCCGATAAGCTTGGTCTTGCTCCAGTCTCGTTAAACCTCGGCAAAACATTTGCGCCACAGGCTTCCACTAATCCTCGACAGCATTCTGTTGCATTTTTGCCCCGGGCAACCTCGATTTTAAGCCACGACCGCTGATCACCTTTTGAAAACATGCTTTAGAGCGACAGAAACGAAACTCCCCACTTTAACACCACACAACACCTACCCTTCTAAGCAGATCGGCTGTTTTTTGCACTCTACACATCGATAACAGCGCCACCTCACCTTTCCCATATCCTATTTGCACATGTCCGCTCTTCTGTGAGTTTCAAGGTTAAGTTGCCGCTATTTAATTTACAAACCTCGTACATATATATATATTATATATATATATATATATTGGCAGCAGCATATACGTTAGTTTCCCGAATAGGTACACTGATTTAAATATGGGCATAAGGTCCTAATACTGGTATTTCACATTATTCTACCTAATTGATGTTTGGAACTCTTTTTTCATTCTTGGTTGTTACTCTTTGTAAGGAACAAAGGCATCAGCAAATGTTCACATTATTTTTTGCTGAAACGAAAATTTGATTAATTAAAATCTTAGGCGCGCCTAAATTTTACTCACTTGCATTACAAGATAAAGTCTGATATTATTTTGCACTAGCAGTATTTATAAAATAATTTTACAATTATTTTTTTGAATGCAAGTGGCGTTTTATCCCCAGATGTTATAAATGAGTTAAACTGTAGAAAACATCTGGATAAGACAAAATTATGACAAAATTTAGCAAGCACCTCGGCCCAGACACCGGATTTTCGCAATGCGGAAAATCCTCAGCGGCCATGTCGCATGATTATGCGGCATGTAAAAGATCCCTGGAGTGCCTAGTTGGCTCTTGGCATTTCCGGCAAAATTAAAATTCCTAGTGCACTTTAGCATCCAAATAGAGTCTCGGTGCTGCCATCTAGTGTGGCAGAAACTCGACGTCCAAATTAACATGGCCAACGGTATCTCACCCATTGTGGTGGTCCTGAAAAAAAGGATACCACTTCTGGAGAATGCACTAGTTTCTGCTCATCGGGAAGACTGATTGTGCAGCTCATAGGAAATTTAAAAAAAAAANTTAAAAAAAAAAAAAAAAAAAAAAAAAAAAAAAAAATTGTCAAAAAAAAATTTTTAGGATACATTTTTTTAAAAAAGTTAAGGAAGGAATTCTAAATGTCAATCTGGGGTAGAATTGACCTAATTTTAGCAAATCTAGGTGTTAGCTATAAATTTCAAGATATGCTTACCTTCTTCAGCTTCACAAATTAAATGAAGATTATCGCCTTCATTATATGGTCCAATTAAGCTCTCAAGAATTTCCCCATTATGATCAGTTATGATTGGTTTCTTGGGTGGAACTGAAAAAAGTAAATAAAGTTTAATTTCAATTTCTAAATCTGTTTCTTATATTACATTTTATAGCAATCTTTTTCAAAACTTGAGTAAACTCTTTGAAAAAAAATTTAATATTTAAAAGTAAATTTCAATAAGAACGGAACCACAAAACTATTATTATTTCACATTTTGATGCATTTTATTTCTTATTTAAAAAGGTAACGCATTTTCTACAGCAATTGTTAATTTAGTGTAATGATCTCTTTTACACTTAAACAAGTTATTAGGATGTTTTTTCTAGATTTTGAGTGGATATTTACAAACCTTGTGAATTTATGTTTGTAGGGGATTTGAACTAGCAAAAGTAGGCATTTTGATAGTCATTGATGATTGATATTTTATTTAGTATCTAAAAACAATTATTTCCTATTTCATTTCTTTGTAAATTTCAACATAGAATATTGGTAGCTTTCTTCAAGTGTTGAAAAATAACCTTTGCATTTTAAAAACAACCTCTCATGACTGGGTTGCTATAAAATAGATTTACGCCGCTCTTAGAACAATCTCAAGTATAAATAGAAAGTTCTTTTCACTCCTTAAAATACATCTTTATGCTTTTAATGGAAATTAAGTGAAATAATGTACACTTCGAATACACTTCATTTGCTTGAAGTGTAGAAAAAATAACCTGCACAACTTCAAAACAACCTAATGTAACAGGTTTGCTGTGAAGTAGGTTTAAATTAACCTCAAAACAAATTTAAGTGTGAAAAAGAGCAACTGTGTACACCCAATAAACACCTCAATCAATAAACGCCTCAATACTTTCCGTGGAAATCAGATGAAATTAATCTCCCCTCGAATAAACTTCATTTACTTAAAGAGATAAGAAAAAAAGATCACACACACGAAAAAACTTCCCTCAGCAGGCTGCTATGATGTAGATTTAAATCAACCTCAACACAATTTGAGATGTAAAGAAAACATGTTCACTTTCAAAACAACCGCTCTCAGCAGGCTAATATAAAGTGCACTCATATCTACCTTAAGTCAGAAGAAAACAACTATATAAAGCCTTATGAGGTTAATTTCGTGATTTTGTTACACCTTAACTCTTCAATCTAGACTCCTCAAAACAAACGGTAACAAAACCGCAAAGGTTTTGTTACCGTAACTGATCTTGACTCCTCAAAAACAACTTCTTCTGGAAAGAAATTCTAGAAAGAAAAACTGGCGTGGAACAATTTAGTGATCTTTAGTTAACGGACTTGTATTGAAAGAGTTTTTAATAAGAGCGTTAGTAAAGTATAAGAACGAGAGGCAAGTGAAGACAAAATTTACTTGGTGTGATAAACATATTATTAATTAAAGCGCATATATTCAGTTAAGGCTGATATGTGGGTTTCTCTAAATAAAGCATTTCGTCAAACTTCTTAAAACTTCGTTAAAAAAAATTAAAATACTAGTAATCTTCATTCATGTTAAATTTTATATAATGTAACAAAATCTGCATTGGGTTTAATTTTAAAAAGCTGAAAAATAATTGAATAAAGTGTTTTTGAATGTACACAAATAAATGAAAATTAAATAATATGTTTTTACATGCTTTTATTTATTACAGACAATGATTTGTGACTACTATGTAATGTCAACGTGTTTTCTGAGATTTTCCAAAAACATAAGAATTATTTCTCTTCCATCCGTTCGTGCAGTGTAGACCTCTAAATCATGCCAAAAGTAAATTAGCTTTTTTATATAATTTTTTATTCATCAGTTTAGAGGTGAAAACTAAAAATGATATTTCAACGCTGAAAAATTCATAAATCACGCAAGAAGTTCATTTTTCTCTCTTTTAGCGTGATTTCAACAGTAAAGTGTGTATCCGTATTTAAGCTTTCCCACTCTATAATAAAAACAAAGCATATTTACGTTTTTGCGAAAAATTAATATGTTCAACTTCTAACTGGCTGTAAAGTAAAAAACACTCTAATAACATTTAATTTTAAACAAAAGTTTCTTAAATTTTGTTGGAAACTATATGATTTATAGCTTACGTGATAGTAATTTCATAGATGATTAAAAGCGCACAAAAAAGTAAACAATATATTTAAAGCAATTAAAACATAACTATAAAATATCTTGAAATAATAGTAGACTGCGTCGTTACACACCGTTAGAATTTTCTTTCTAAAATGATGGCAAAATATACATCAGCATTCTTCCTATCCAATTAACCGTAAAGTAGTTTTTTTTTACATTTACGGTTTGTTACCGTTTACATCTAGTATGGTTAAGGAACCATGAATACAAAACTATACAGTTTTTTAACCACTTACAACTGGCATGGTTTCAAAATCATGAAAAAGGAATTTAATCGAACATTGGAGATATTTTAGTAGCTTTATGGTGCTGTAATCTATGCGTCAACGAGAATATCGTATTCTTCATATCCAAACAGGTCAGGGGTACAAATTGACGAGTGCAGGACGTGTGTTAAATGGAATGGATGAAATATTGCGGTGACATGCTGGATTCGAACCTCCGTTCCGATCCACCATAATAATCATAAGATAAATAGATTAGACCTCTCGGATATAATAAGCACCCTGCTGCAGACAACAAAGTGGCTTCATGAAGTGCTAGTTGGTGCTATAAAATTCTGGTCATTTAACTTTATCAGGTGAAAGCAGTTAATAAACGGTTCTTTTCACAGTTAACAGTATGAATACCATCTTATTCATGGTAATTTGACTATTTTGTTTGAATATAGTAAAATAGCAATTAAAAAATTAATTGGTCTTTAACCATTTTTGCGAGAAATTTCTAACAGTGTTCAACATTTCCATTATTGGATAACACATAGTTTCACGAATTCTTCTTCTTTCTTAGAAAATATTTTGAGTTTTTTATTCTAGCACATTCTAACATTTAACTCTAGTTGAATTAGAATAATTTATTAAGGAATGGTAGAAAATCCTTTTCTTGCGTCTTTAGGTTAACATTTACCATTATCTTCCGCTGTGTGAATAGACAATAGAACTGAAAACTTCTACTCCAAAAAAGAAAAAAACAGAATCTATTTTTTTACCTTGAATTAGCATTGTTATACGCATAACTACTATTAATGATTCTTCTCTTCATTAATCTACATATTTTTGAAATCCTTGTCAAAAATGAGGTTCATGCATTTGAGATGCTCAGACAAATATTTAATTTAAAACTTTAGGAAAAATATTTCATTAAAGTCTTATAAATCTCTACTGGAACAGATGTAGCAAAAGCTGTTAAATTGTCGCATTGAGAAGTTAAAAAGTTATATACATCTAAAATTAGATTTTATGCCTTCCTAACTTCTTCGATCGTTGTTAGAAATATTTCGGTAAAGTTCTTGTTTTATACCAGATCAAATATACACTGTAAATAAATTCAGTATCAAATTACAGTAAAAAGTATCGACCCTCAGGATGAAGGTACTTTTTACTAAAAAATGTTACGGAGTGAAAATCTGACATACCGTGATTTTAACAGTAGTAATTACAGTAAGATGACTTAATAACTCTAATTAAGCAAATATTATTGTGAAAATTAGAGTAAAATGGATTTAACGGTATAAATGGATTTATCGGTAAAAATAGATTTTACTTTTAATGCACCCAATGTGGTGGTACTTTTTATCGTAATTTGATCCAGAATCTCTTACTGTTTAATTCACGATTACTATTATGAGTATTTTTACCAAAAATTAAAAAATTAAATACTTATACTTGATTTTTGACCAGAATTCAAAAAAGGGAAGGATGGTCATTAAACAGCTGATATTGAAAAAAAAAACATAAAAATATTAAACAAAAAAGCATCGAGCATCCTTACTTCCGAAATTTTTTTCAAATGGCTTTTGGCAAAAAATAATCTTTCTAATGCTTTTTGAATGGATATAAATATCAAAACATGACACACAAAATTAACACATAAAAATAAAATTGAAATTTTTATTCAACTTACCTACAAGTTGTAAAAAAACGATCGCATTTCTACTTCTCGATCTCCGAAAATCAACTCTACATCGATATTCACCTTCATCTTCCTCTGTTAAATATTCCAAGTACAGCATTGATGGGTGATCATCAAGGCTGAGGCTAACTCTACTAGAAACTGCATCGCCTGTCACGTGTCTTGCTTGTTCGATGTTCGTTTTCCTTGCATCAACACTATAGATGGGCTTTGTAATATCATCCTTATACCATAAGATGAGCGCAACTGCGTCATCCGTCACAGGAGGGGTGATGTTACATGGTAAGGCTACTTTACTACCGGTGATACCAAGGACACTGGAAACAGTTTCTGAAAATACAAAAAATACTGTGCTTAGGTTGTGGAAATATATTTTTTTTTCTGGTTGCTGAAACTTAGTTTTGCCGCAAAATATTTAATTATTATGTGGTATGTTTAGTATGTTTCCTAAGTCAAGTTTTTATGAGTATAATAAAGCAGGAATAATGAAAATTAATAGATTTCAACAAAATAATAATTTGGTAAAAAAAGGCCAATTACTTTTTGTGAAATATAAAATAATAGTTTAACGAACTACTCTGTAGTCTATTCCTTAGACACACACACACATATACGCACATATATATAAGTGAAGNGTATATATATATATACTGAAAACATTCGTGAACATTTTTAAGTATTTTAGCTAAAATGTTCGAAGAAATTGGATTTAAGTTTCAATAAAATAATTAAAAAATTAGTCTTGAGGAAAGGGACAATAGAGTTACAATGATCAGTGTAATAACCAAAACAATTGTTTTTTTTTAATCATCATAACTTCTGTTCTTCATGACTTAAACAAAACTCAAAAGATTTTAGAATGATAAAAGTTCATAGTTTTATCTTAAAAAAAACATTTTTTAATCAAAATCGGCTTTAAAAAGATAGACTGGCTCCTTGAAAGCAATTACTCTTGAAAATAAACAATGGGTTTACTAACAGCATGATAGTAATTTGAAATATAGGCAATAATTTGTAAAAACAAAATAAAGAATACTTAGTTAACAGAATAATTGCTTTTTCTAACGCCAGTATCATTGAATAAAATAAACGACAACGTTAAACATTAAACAAAAAAATTTGCAAATGAGCCGTAAGAACCTTTTGAAATGGTTAAAGAAAACATAAAATATTCTAGGCTTAAGCGAAGCGAAACAAAATATTTTTGCAAAAAATTCCTACTAAGGTTATCGGTAAAATGCTTACAAAAGTATTCAACAAAAAAAAAACATTATCTGTAATGCGAGAACATAATTTTCTTTTGAAAAAATTAAGTACAAAAAAAATTTAATTATTAATTAAAATAGTTAAGCCATGAAAAATAATGAATTGAAATTAACAAAAATTGGACAGAAAAGAGAAAACCAACCTATAATAATTTCTTCATTATAAATGAATTTTTTTTAAAAGCTTAATTAGCTGCTTAAGAGTTCAAATACTTAAAACAGTGCTTTTATATATATTATAGCGTAAGTTACACACAAAAGTTCGATTTTTTTTATAGAAAATGCAAACATCTTTTTATTTAATTGCTTTTTTTATGAAAGTTTTACTATTAAAAAGATATTCAAGGTCTTACAAATCCTCTTTGAGAAAGTTAAAGAAGTAAAAATTTAAGATCTTCAACGACAAATTTTAACTTTTAATTGGATGCTACTAAAGTAAACCAGAGTTTTTAATATTTAGTTAAATAATTGAAGTTAAAACTTATAAAAGTGTTATTGTCTAACTCATTAGTATATCACATATTAGTTGATAAATAAATCTCTTTTTTCTACGTTAAAAATAGGATAAATAATAGAATATCTTAGAAAAATTAAAGATTCTTGGTTTAAAATAAAGCAACCTGTTATTAAAACGTTGCTCTATATATTGAATTCTAAAATTTGCAATAAATTCAACATAATTTGTTCCTTATCACTAGAAGAGCCATTGAAGTCCTTTTGATAGTTAGTTAAGTAATTTTTTATGTTATTCTTGAAGATACACGCAAGCTTCGAAGCTCATCTTTTTTGGCATTTCCTAAATTGTTTCTAAGTATACTATACCAAAATTTCATGCCTTCATGTTGTTTAGTACAATAAATACTTAAGGAAATTCCTAAAGCAGCCAAAACGGGTCATTTTGACCTCAATAAGAAAAACATTCATTTTTGAAGATTTATGTCTGTTTTTGATTTTCAGAACTGCAAATATTATAAAGATGAATGTTTGAACAGAAATTACGATCCACCGTGATAAAAAATTTCACTTGGAGAATGTTTTGGGGAATTATATTGTATCTTATATTAGATTTCCGAAGTAGCTCAACTCACTATTGAATTATAATTTCGTTGTTGCTTTTTAAAAAAACCATGTACATGCTGATTATAAGTGGTTATATTTGTTATAATCATGGACATAGTATAGTTGGGAAACAGTTATTGCCATGTAAATAATAATGAAAATTCATTGTGTGACGTTCAAGAAACATGAAGTTGATTTTAACAGAGATTGAAGTTTTAGAATATAAAACTAGTAATGATACAGATTAAGCAATATAATCTATTATTAACGAATGTTTAACTATTTTCTTGTTTTTTTCTAAGCAGAGAAGTCAATTTAAAGAAAATTATGGATCAACAAGCTACAAAATAGCAAATATTTTTTTCAAGTAAAAGTTTTTTGATTGAAGTTTATCGAAGTAAAATTTATGTCAAAACATAGTAAACATTATAATCTATTGTAAAGATATATTAAATTCAAAAAAAAAATTCTTTAAAAGGAAAAAATTTTAACAATATCAGGAATGAACTCGCTCCAAATTATCTAACATTGTCGCAAATTAAAGTTAAACTGATTGAAGTTTATTATGCCGAAATTCATTGCATTACAATTTAAGGTAACATATTTATTCTAATATTTATTAATAAATATTAATTTAATTTTTTGTAAGACACTGAAATTGTCATGAAACTCAATAAAATAAGGCAGTAGCAATAAATTATAATAAAAAGTAATCGGATAAATATTGTAAAATAAGGTAACCTAAAGAAGTAAATAACGGAAATGATAAATAATATTTTTAACATGTTTTCAATTTATCGATTATCTTTATTTTCTGTACTTTATAAAACTAAGGAGACAATTAAAAATTCATTGTAAAACATTGTTAGTAAAATAATAGATACAAGCTTTCGGTTATAATTATTGAGTATCGAGAAAGAAATATTTCCCTCAAGTACATTAATAATATGTATTTCCAATAAATTGATTTTTAACTTCCACACCTTTTTTTTATTATAAATTCCACGATTCATCAATGTCTTATTATGGTTTAACTCCCGCAAAGTACGTTAATTAGGTAGAGGGAGCTACTTAAAAACTCACTATTCTACTTATTTTCATAAACTTGCTACAAAATTAGATACTTAAGCTCGAACTTTTGCAATAAATCAATGAACAGTAATCTTAGATAGAACGTAAAATAAATAATTTATTTTATTGCGTTTGCTTTAACAAGCTTTTATTATTAACATCACGCACTTTGGTTTATTATATATATATATA